GCAGCCTGGTAGGCTACTTAAAATCTATATCCCATCTTGAGGTACAAGCCAAAGATCAAGATAAAACTTTATGACTTGGGTAGCTCCAACCATCACACATAGGCATAATGGAACTTTTAAAATCTTGAATCTGTTTCCAGCTCTGGGAACAAAATGCAGATCTCTTCAAAGAAACTACTTAACCAACATGGATGACCCAGTGATGAAGGAATTAATCCAGGTATTGTTCTCTGTTCAGCTTCATGTTTTCCTGACCTAAGGCAATTTTCCCTTTAGCAAACTGCTGATGGTCTTCCTTTACCTCCAGTGTAAAGATAAGAACATTAAATACAGTGAGGCGATGGAGTCAATGTGACTGCTTTAACCAGATGGGAAGCACAAGCAACATGAGGCAGAATGATAGGGAGTGACTTCCTTCTCAGTGAACACACATTTTATTGGTTTATAGGATAGCCATGCATGAGATTTTAACACTGGCCAGTAAGCACAGTGCCATCTTCTCTCCAAACAGATGATCACAGAATCATAGAATGATTCCATGCTGGACGTATTTCCTGCACAGATCCATAATGGCAGATTATGCCTTCCACTGTTATAGCAAACTAAAGTTTGCAAAACAAAATTTCAAAATTTAGAGAAGGACCTGTGGTGAAGGTATGGGACACTGACATCTAATTAACAGGATGATGACATCATGCAAAATAAGTGTTTGAATCTCACTCCGCTACCTATATTTAACACTACATGAATCTATGAGCTTATGCTGATGTAACAGGACTCTGATTTCTTAACCACTGTTAAGAGACCAGAAAAATGCACTCCCTTCTTCCAGGTTTTCAGTTTTCCTGTGCAAATTCCCCCACTTAATGGTTTAGACTTACCTCAACAGACACTTTAACTATGGTTAACACATCATTTCTTTCAGGGTTTCAAAACTCTGGTTAACATTAAGCTTTACTTAGGGTTAATCACAACTATAATCTGTCCTAAGAAACACCTTAACAATGGTTAAGGTTGATAGAGGAATTTGTAGTGATGGGAAGGCCAATCCATCACCCACAGGGCTCCTTAGATTAGCTCTGTTTGGGAAGCAAGCACAAATATTTCCATTGTTTGAAGAAGAGTGAAAATATCAACACTCCAAACAGACTACCCACCTGCTTGCGTATATATTCCACCATTATTTCTAGACGCCTTGGATCATCACACTGTTTATTAAACAGATTTCTCCAGATGGCTGCTGCAAGTACATGGTCATCTGATAGGATTCCCTAAAATAAAGCAAGAAAAACAAAAAAAAAAGGGAAAATATAAAGCTCTAAACAGTAGACCAGGTTCAGGCTTAATTCATTCTTCTTCAATTGGATCCTTCCTTCAGGAGATACCATTTGAAATGAATGTAGCCAAACCCATGAAAAGTTGCAATTTTCAAAAAGCATATTCAATTCCATCCCCACCTCCCTTTTATTCACATATTATGTGTACAACGATGTGTATTTCATGCATAAGCTGGTACTGGGAGTAGTATTTAGAAAATAAAGCAAGCTTCTATCTTTCATGGCTGCAAAGTGTCAGCAAGCTGCCATTCTGTTTTCTGTGACCTCTGTGTACATATCCTTTCCCTGTTGCACCCGGCTTGTTTTCTATCATCCTGCTCCTGCGTTGGAATGCACAAGATAACTGCTGGAGGTTGTGTGGGGGAGAAGATGCTGTAATGCTTGCCTATTGCTTTTCTCATGAGTACTGCACCTGTGTTTTGTCTGATGTTCTGCCTGGTTCCCATGGACTGGGCGCGCAACCGTTTCATTAGCCCGCCAGCGGGAATGCTATTCATTGGATCTGTATCTGTTTGAATTTCCTTTATTATGCTTGACCTAACTGTGTATCCCCAGTTCTAACAAAGAACGTGTTTGAGTATGTCTTCAACGCTTTGAAATAAATTTTGCTTTTCTTGAAAACGTGGATTTATTCTCGATGCTTGGGGATCCAACATATTGTTAGAACTGGGGATACACCACCTGGGGGGGGGCTGTGGTCACCCGTGCGCAAGCGCGATCGATTCCGCGCTCTGATGACACTTCGCCTTCCCTTTTCCCTGTGGGGGGGGGCCTGGGTTCAGAAATATATGTCTGCTTTTACTGCTGATGATGATGCCTCCCTGAAAACGTTGCCAGATTGTGTCCGTAGCCCTGAAGGTCTGATTTATTCTGGAGACAAACTGTATGTGCCTATTTCGATGAGGAGGGAGGTGATGGATTCTGCTCACGGTTCGAAACTGGCGGGGCATTGGAGTTTTGTTAAATCTCCCGCCCGACCCGGGAGGTGTGTTGTAAGTGTATTTTAAGGGGGGCAGTATGTCAGCAAGCTGCCATTCTGTTTTCTGTGACCTCTGTGTACATATCCTTTCCCTGTTACACCCGGCTTGGCTTCTATCATCCTGCTCCTGCTTTGGAATGCAAAAGATAACTGCTGGAGGTTGTGTGGGGGAGAAGATGCTGTAATGCTTGCCTATTGATTTTCCCAGGACTACTGCACCTGTGTTTTGTCTGATGTTCTGCCTGGTTCCCATGGACTGGGCGCGCAACCGTTTCATTAGCCCGCCAGCGGGAATGCTATTCATTGGATCTGTATCTGTTTGAAGTTCCTTTATTATGCTTGACCTAACTGTGTATCCCCAGTTCTAACAAAGAACGTGTTTGAGTATGTCTTCAACGCTTTGAAATAAATTTTGCTTTTCTTGAAAACGTGGATTTATTCTCGATGCTTGGGGATCCAACATATTGTTAGAACTCTCTTTCTCCTATCGTTCCGAATCTGGCAAGATCATGAGCGGAATTGAGGGAAATCTACCTAACACGGAGGGGGACTCGGGATCGGTCCCACAAACCTCCGCGTCTTTGGTGTTCACGACTGCAGCCTCGATGGAGGGTGCCGTGGGGGGAACGATTCCCCGCCTGCCTGCACATCTGTCTTGGCCGCCTCCGACCCCTTCGCAATGGGGTCCGCGGAAGACTCACCAGCAGGATGATTGGACTATGTACAACACCCAAGGCACCCGTGAGGTGTACTCCCGTCGGGGGAGCGGATTACGTGAGAGTCTGTTTGACAAGGGATTGTTCCCGGAACCTGGGTCTACCTCGGAGAAGGGGAGCCCCAAGCAGGACCTCGAGGAGTGGATGTTCGAGCCGTCGGGACCGCGTGGTCACGCAGAAGATGAGGAGGGCACCGGAGCCCTTACCTGATCCGTAGTTTCCACAAGAGGTTCCCGGACAAACCGGGAGGTCTCCCGCCCAGCCCGGGAGATCTCCCGCCCGACCCGGGAGGTGTGTTGTAAGTGTATTTTAAGGGGGGCAGTATGTCAGCAAGCTGCCATTCTGTTTTCTGTGACCTCTGTGTACATATCCTTTCCCTGTTGCACCCGGCTTGTTTTCTATCATCCTGCTCCTGCGTTGGAATGCACAAGATAACTGCTGGAGGTTGTGTGGGGGAGAAGATGCTGTAATGCTTGCCTATTGCTTTTCTCATGAGTACTGCACCTGTGTTTTGTCTGATGTTCTGCCTGGTTCCCATGGACTGGGCGCGCAACCGTTTCATTAGCCCGCCAGCGGGAATGCTATTCATTGGATCTGTATCTGTTTGAATTTCCTTTATTATGCTTGACCTAACTGTGTATCCCCAGTTCTAACAAAGAACGTGTTTGAGTATGTCTTCAACGCTTTGAAATAAATTTTGCTTTTCTTGAAAACGTGGATTTATTCTCGATGCTTGGGGATCCAACACAAAGATCCATGTGTGCAAATGCCTGACTACTGGTCTAGCTGCAGCCTTTGACACAGTAGATCCTGCTATCCTGTTGAGGCATCTGGAGGCAGAAGTAGGTATCAGAGGATGTGCCCTTGGACTGTTTCAAATTGTTGCAGACAAACAGGACTCTGCCTTTGGAGACCAGCTATCTTCCGTATGGGAGCTATCTTGTGGAGTTCCACAGCGTGCAACCTTTCATGTTATTCTACCTCTCTATAAAATCTTTAGGAGAAATCATTTGTAGCCTTGGAATTGGATGTTATTAATATGCAAATGACACCCAGCTCTGTATCCCTCTGTCCAAATCCCCTGGTGTTGAGCTGCAGGCCAACTGCTGCAGTCAAATGGTTGAAAGTTGAACAAACTGAAACCAAACCTAAATTTATTGATTTATCTGTTATTTATAGTCCACCCTTTTCACTTGGACAAGGCGGATTACACAGAGCGAGTCAATATAATTGACATGATGGGACATTAAATAAATAGTGGAGTAGGAATTAGGGTTGCCGAACCAACCAGAAATCTACAAACAGAACTGAAGCAAAGCATAAATATTACTATGACACATAAAATGATATAAAAATTACATAGTGGGACCTAGATCCTGCAAGCTACACACAGGAGTATAGACAATGGTCGCCAGCCACCTCTGGTCACCAGTGGGCTGAGTTTCGGACTGGCCACAGAGCCATAAGACCCTGCTCTGATGAGCCCAGTTGCTGTGACAGAGCATGGGAAGAGGAGACCTCGCAGCTATGAGGGTCCAAGGCCATGACTGGATTTGTATGCAACAGCTAATACTTTAAATTGAGCCTAGTACCTGATGGGCAGCTAGTGAAATGCCTGCAGGATGGGAGTGATATGCGTGCTCCATCTAGCTCCCGATTATAGCTGAGCCACAGCATTCTGCACCAAGTGGTGTTTCTGAATAGATTTTGAGGGGACACCAATGTATAGTGCATTACAGTAGTCTAGACTCCATGTTATTGTGGCACGGATCCAGGTGGCCAGATCAGCTGTATCAAGGTAAGGGGACATCTTTCGGGCTAGGCTGGGTCAGAAGAAAGCCTTTTCCTCAGCTGCATTAACTTGGTTCTCCAGTAATAACACTGAGTCTAGTATAACCCCAAGGTTCTTAACTGAGTCAGCAAGGGTTGGCTGTTCAGGATTCAATTCCAAATTGTTCACTCTTAGCTAATTACCACAGCAACTAGGCAGTGACCTCTATTGCATTACCAGGGCATTTGGATAAGGATTTACAGAGCCCAGTATCTGCATGCACATCCAACACCAAAGCTGCAAATGATTTGTCTTAAGAGCTTTACATAGAGATTGAAAAGCATGGTGGATAGAATTGCATCCTGTGGAATGCCACGTGATAGGTTCCACACTGATAACAACTGGTCTCCAACAGCAACTCTTTGAGTCTGATCCGTGAGGAATGATTTCAACCAGTTCAGTGTGCATCCCCGATACCTACTTCTGCTTGCAAATGCCTCAACAAGATGGTATGATCTCCTGTAGTAAAGGCTGCAGATAAAACCTTGAAGGACATTGCATTTCCCACTTTTGATAGGGTTCAGGTGACCCTTGTTGATTCGGTTAAGAGCCTTAGGTGTTATTACTGGACCCAACATTGCAGCTGGTGAAACAAGTTAATGCAGCTGCAAAAAAATTGCAAAGCTGAACTATTCAAGAGGGCAGTCTTATACAAGTAATAGGACTATATTATAATGGAATGCTTCAGAAAGATGCTTTAAAGAAGGGAGAGGGCCTGTGTGTGTGTATATATATAGTACAAACTGTCATAAACTCGTGCTTACATGTGTGTTGCGTATTCGTGTGCATGTAAAATGGGTTCCTCTTCTTCGTGCTACCACTCCAAGGTATCAATCCAGCCTCCCATGTTACCAGTGACTTGGGGGGGGGGGTTCACTAGTAAAGACTGCCTCTGATCGAGTACAAAGGGCAGAGTTTCCCACTTACTTCAGCCCGTCTCCTGTGCGTGTGTATTTAAGCATGTTTATCATAAATGAGTGATCTAAGGCACACAAGGAGGACTTTGAATTACAGTCTGCTCTCTTAAACAGGAAAAAAGTTATTGCTATAGATTAAGTTAGAGCACAAGAAAGGGAAAAGAGTATCACGCCTCCTGGTTTACAGGTCTGTTGAAAAGAACAAGAAACATAACACTAACCTAAACTAACACACGAAGCTGCTTTGTATTGAATCAGACCACTGGTCCATCAAGGTCAGTGTTGTCTACTCAGACTGGCAGCAGGCTCTCCAGGGTCACAGGCTGAGAGGTCTTCCACATCACCTACTGCCAGATTATTCAACTGGAAATGCCAGGGATTGAACCTGAGACCTTCTGCATGCCAAGCAGATGCTCTGCTACTAAGCCACAGCCCCTGTAACCAGACATGTCTGTGGAACAAATGCACATCCTGACCCCCACCTGCTCCATGGAAGGGAATCTGACCTCCAGCATTTGAACAAAGATGAATGGATGTTTCAGCCTTTTAACCCTTCCTACCTTTGTTGGTGGGAAGTCTCTCCCCACTTTTGGGAACTTGCCCAATGTGGAGAGGTGAACCTCAATCTCCCAGTCAAACTAGGGCACACATCCCACACATCTCAATACCATGATCATGTTCTACAATGGCTATCCATCTTGCCCTCCCTGCCAGATAGGCAAATGGCTCTCTTTCTGCGGAAATAAATCTCTGCGCTCTCTCACCGCTTGGTGCATTTTATGGCTCTCTTCTCCGGGAAAACAACAGCTGTCAGGACCCCAGGATCTCCCTGATGCACTCCAAATCACAGCACATACTACCTATTGCTGTATGTATTACCCTGCTTTGTAATTTCTGCTTTGTTTAATATGTCATGTTAAAACCTATGCTTTGTTTTAGCTCTGACTCAGATTTCTAATTGGTTCCAGACATCTGCAATCCTAATCCTATTACGCTGCTTACTGGATGTCCCATCCTGTTGACTGTACTGATTTATACTGTGTAATCTGCCTTGCAGAATATTTATTTATGTCATATATAAACTTTACAAAGCCATTCACATGTCTGAGCAGAACTACCATCACCTGAAGTGTAAGCAGTTAGTTCCCGGTATTAAAAGAAAAACTCAAAAGGTTGTGTAAAAGGTTCAGCTATGAATCCAGAATCAGACCATGCCAGATTTCCTGCAAAACATACAGTGCTCTAGGTGCAAAAGATACTCCCCAAGAGTTTCTGGCCAAATCACCTAACTAGCTTCAGTCCTCATCCCAGAAAGAGAATAGGTTAGGCAGGAGAGCACTTAACAAGCACATTAATTTAATTGGCATAATCCATAGTTTGCAAAATCACAAATATTTGTCACAGAAATTAGCTCAATTTTGTGCAGAACTTGATTTAACACCCCCCCCAAAAAAAAACCCCAGAACCCTCACTTGTTTATTTTGTCTTTTATACATGTGGTGCTAATTGTGTAATTAAGTAATTAATATCACCTCATCATATCCAAAAATTGCTGCATAGAAGTTTTCTGTCATGTTCTTCATACTTTCTTTCAGGGCAACAGAATCAATCTGAAAACAAAACAGGCACAATTAAATGTTTAAGTACAGAGTAGGGCAACCAAGGTAATTTCCCTATGAGGAAAGGCTGAAGAGTCTGGGACTTTTCAATTTAGAAAAGAGATGACTAAGGGGGGGGGGGTATGACAGATATTTATAAAATTATGCATAGGGTGGAGAGAGATGACGAAGAAATTGTTCTCCCTCTCCCAAAATACAAGAACTCAAGGGCATCCAATGAAGCTGATGGGCAATGGGTTCAGGGTGGACAAAAGGAAACACTACTTTACACAAAGAGTGATTAAAATGTGGGAGTTGCTGCTAGAGGATGTGGTAATGGCCACAGGAATAAACAGCTTTAAAAGAGGATTAGATAGATTCATGGAGGATAAGTCTATAAGTCTACTAGCCAGGGTGGCTAAGGGGAACCTCCACTTTCAGAGGCAGTCAATCCCTGAATTCCGAGCAAGGAGGTGACATCAGGGGAAGGTCTCAGCCTCTACGCCCTGTTGTTGGCCATCCAGAGGAACCGGTTGGCCACTCTGTGAGACAGGGTGTTAGACTATTGGTCTTATGCAGCAGGGTTCTTCTTATGTTCTTATTCAGCAAATGAGAGGTGAAAGCAACACAACTGAAATCTACTTCATATAGATGTAGTTTGGGTAGGTAAGAACCACAATCCTAGTGGGTCGGTATTTCTGAACACAAGAATTACACAGAATGGGAACTGTGGGACATACAGGAAGAGGGGATGCATGTTCAAATGCCCAACCCTGACTGTATTTGCACAGGCTATACACCATCATACATCTAATGCTGAACCTGACCGGCCCTCAACATGCCAATCAAGAAAAGTCACACATTGTACAGTCAGGGAAGATTGGGGAAAAACTGCAAGTTGAAAAAAGATCCTGTAAACTTTTTTTAAATGGGGGGGGACTCCCTAAACAAGGGCAACAGTAGGTTGCAAGACCTCAGCCGACATGCACAGCCAGGGCTGGGGGGGGGGGGCAAAATGGCAGGCCCTGGGAGGGGAGCGGGGGGGGGGGCAAAGCAGAGGGCAACAGCAGTTGCCAGGACAGGGAGAAACCATCAGTCTGTGGCAGGAGTCCCAAGGTGTTCGGGCTTGGAAGGGGAAAAAGGCACCAGGAGGACAAGACAGCAGGAGGAAGAAGGAAACTAGCACTGGGGAGAAGAGAGGACAAGGCAGCAGGAGGTCATGGGAGGAAAGAGGTGGCAGCAGTGCAAGAAGCAAGGGGCTGGCTAAGAGGAGGATTCAGGAGGGCAAGGAGAGGAAGGGCAGAGTAAGACAGCTAGAGGAGAAAGCAGAGACCAAGAGGGGGATTAAGGATAGTTCCATATGGAATATATGCAGCACAAAACACTCCAAACTAATGTCCTATATCTCAGAGAGAATAACATCAAGCCAAACTCAGAATAACCACTGAAGAAAAAATGTGAGGCACTACAGTCGAATGGGATGCCATGCGAGAGAACACGCAGGCATGCATGTTGCTCAAATGTTTGGCTTACAGAACATGTAACCATCATGGTCTGAGGAGCTGCAGAATCTGCCTCACAAAGGAAACCATGAATACCTCCATACACCAGCCTCACTGCTTTGATATAACAGGCCAGTATTGCTTCATCAATGATGTCATCAAAGACCTATTAATATGCATATAGCCCTGCGGTTATTGCCTTGTAATAATTTCTCCCTCAAACAGCTAATTAGTTCATGTCATAGTATCAAACCTATGGCTTATATATATTCTTCCATTAAACTGCTATCCTTCATAACTTTCTTTTTATAATACATGCATACAGTGCAACCACAAGGGGGGGAAGTTCTTTTATGTCTGTTACTCATATTTTTCCATTTATATAAACTATTAAAATTCATGCATATATTTTATAGGCTATCAAAATTTGGTCACTGGGCTATTACTGAATCTTTAATGAAAAAGTGCTAAATAGAAGAAATCACAGGGTTAAATGATGACTGCAACCCCTGTAATGACTTAATTAAAATTTTATTGAGTACATAAACTATGATGTCACTTTTAGCCAACCAGGCTCAAACTTTCGAGGCATGTCGGAGACCATGGCTTTTCTCAATAGAACATACTCCTAACTAAGCAGCATTTCTATACTCTAATAAGGGGGAGCAGGTCTCATGTAACACACTCAATAAATTATCCCTCCATTTTTAAAACAAACAAATTCCATGAGTTATAATATATTTGCCATGCACTTTTTATGACATAATAAAAATGTTACCTTAAGGATTACTTAACACATACTACAAATGTTACAGCAGGCAATTGCAAGGGGGGCAAAGAAAATAAACAGCACCATTACAGGGACAAGTCCTGGACTTTGCATCCCTAGGGGAGCAGCTCACTATATAAAAGCAAAAGGCAGCAGCCTTATGTTAGTAAGAAAGAGATTAATAAGGAGATAACAAAGTTAAGAAAACATGGCAATAAATAAAATGTGACTCTTGCACTGAAAGGGGGGACAGCGTCCTGGATAACATCATTTTAAAAAAATAATAAAGGGCTAACACAGTATTTGGAGGCAACCAGAGAAACACTATCTCATTAAAACAAATAAACTAAAAGAAGGGCTCTTTTGAAACATTCCTTTCTTACTCCTGTCTTCCCATCATGGGCGAATTTCAGTACCTTAAAGCAATGGCAGGGGCTACACTGACTACAAGCTTGTGCCAAGTGGCACGTACAATTTAAAATTACTATTCAGTGATAGCTGCTGGATTCCCCCTGCAAGTTAAAACTCCTGCAGATTTCTGTTAAAAGCAAATTTTGGATAATCAATATTCCAGCCCTGCTTTGATTAAGAGGTGATGAAGAACTTTAGAAGGCTTTACAAATAACACTAGTGGGTTAATGTAAGAGCAGTCCTGCTGGATCCGACCAATGGTCCATCTAGTCCAGCAGCCTGTTTCACACAGTGGCCAACCAGTTGCCCTGGAGGGTCAACAAACAGCACACAGAGGACAGGGCCTTCCCCAGATGGTGCTTCCTAGCACTGGTAATTCAGACGTTTGTGTCCTTTTTATATGGAAGTTCCCTCTGGTCACCATGGCTAGCAACTAGTGGGTTCTGGGACTTCTGGGAAGGTCATTCCAAGGAATGAATCAAAAGCTCTGTTCAAAAATCTAAAATAGGTTCTGGGTCTCTCCACCTAAGGAATTCTGGTATACTAACTCAAAAATGTGTTTAGGCGTATGAACCATTTCACATTTAATCTGCCAGGTCTCTGAGTAAGCAACTTCTATCTAATGCAATCTATATTTATACACAACAAACTATGGCAGGTCCTTAAAGAGACGGGAGTACCAGACCACCTCACATGTCTCTTGAGAAACCTGTATAAGGGTCAAGAAGCAACAGTTAGAAACGGATATGGAACAACTGATTGGTTTAGCATAGGAAAAGGAGTACGACAAGGATGTATATTGTCACCTTGCTTATTTAATATATATGCAGAGTACATCATGCGAAATGCTGGCCTGGATGAATCACAAGCGGGAATTAAGATTGCTGGGGAAAAGATCAACAACCTCAGATATGCAGACGATACCACTCTAATGGCAGAAAGTGAAGAGGACCTAAAGAGCCTCTTGTTCAGGGTAAAAGAGGAGAGCACAAAAGTGGGCTTGAAGCTCAACATCAAAAAAAACTAAGATCATGGCATCCGGCCCCATCACTCCTTGGCAAATAGAAGGGGAAGTCGTGGAAGTAGTGACAGACTTCACGTTCCTGGGATCCCAGATCACCGCAGACTGTGACAGCAGCCATGAAATTAAAAGACGCCTGCTCCTTGGGAGGAAAGCGATGGCGAACCTAAACAGCATGATAAAAAGTAGAGACATCACCCTGCCAACAAAAGTCCGCATGGTCAAAGCAATGGTATTCCCAGTAGTCATGTATGGATGCGAGAGTTGGACTATAAGGAAGGCCGAGTGCCGAAGAATAGATTCTTTTGAACTATGGTGCTGGAGAAGACTCTTGAGAGTCCCTTGAACTGCAAGAAGATCAAATCAGTCAATCCTAAAAGAAATCAAGCCTGACTGTTCCCTGGAAGGCCAGATAATGAAACTGAAGCTCAGATACTTTGGCCACCAAATGAGAAGGGAGCACTCACTGGAGAAGACCCTGATGCTGGGAAAGATTGAAGGTCAAAGAAGACGGGGACGGCAAAGGATGAGATGGTTAGACAGTGTCACAGATGCAACGAACATGAAGTTGAGCAAACCTCAGCGGAAGACCGGAAGGCCTGGCGTGATCTGGTCCATGGGGTCACGAAGAGTCGGACTCGACTGTGCAACTGAACAACAGTAACAATATTTATATAAGTGTGTCATTCCCTCCTGCTGTATTAGTTATATTTGAACTTTGCATTTTGAAAAACAGAAATTTAGCTTTGAAATGTTGTCAAATGTGGTGCAAAATTTGCTGCTCCTAGCAATGCATATGATTGAACAGATGGAATACAGTTTTGCTTTCTTAAAGCACTTCTCCTGCCCAAGGCATCATACTCACGCTTGCTACAAAACAGTTAACAGTTAAATATTTTCTTGCCAATATTTTAAGAGTGTAGAAGGTTCCAAATTGCTGGTAAAATAAACAATGCCAGACTGTGAAAACTCCTGGCTGCCATGCTCTCTGATGTTAACAAGAGTTTCTTTATTACTGTAACCTTTCTGAAGTGAATAAAAATTATTTCTCTGCCCTACTTCTGCCCTCAAGTAAAAGGAAAAGAAGGAAAGTGAACCACAAAAAGTTACACAGTATGAAGCCTAGAATACTGAATTCTCATTTTAAATGTCTATTTATACCTTATTATATATATATATATATTGTTCCCCAGTTTAAAAGTCTTATGTTCCACAGGTACAACAGTTTCTGATTTTGTAATTCTCCATTTATTAATTTCTATTGAATGAATGATAACTATGAGGGACACTTTGATGTTTCCCCCTGATA